AAAAAAGAACCATTACTTCCTTTGATTCATCAACTCACTGCTATGTGCTTGTTGGTTTTTAAATCCCCCAACATGCCTATTTGATGTCATCAGTTGGGACCACCTTCTTCCTCTGGAATTTGATTCAAATTCTCCTGTTTTGAAGTTCTTGGTATTAGAGGTTCAAGCTGTAGGTACTGTTCCACTTTTGTACGCCCACTGGTATGAATGATTTAGCAAATCTGTCATTTATGCTCAATATAACAGAGTCATTTTACTGCAGGATCTCATTGGTGCAATTAACCCTGTTCCTTTAAAATGAGGAGCTGATTGTCTTGGCATTCATGGGAGCGGAGAGCATAGTACAGTGGTGCAGTTCCTTGCCCTTCCAGAGCAGTACTGCAGTCAATTGATTATTTTGTGAATTGGTTTTGCATGCAGTATCCTGCTGGTTTATCATCATCCAAGTGACTGTATGCACCATGCAGAAGTATAATGAAAATCAATACTAGAAACCTTTTTTCCCTTGTAAATAAAGCCATCCATGGGCTACCTTTGATACATGACCTTCATTCTGGTTACAACACAGCTAATAAATTTTTCATAATTTAATTTTATGATAATAAAGTAGATGCTCAGGTTCTGATCTGTACTTAAACTTGTATCCTAATGAAAAAGGAAGAAATTACTTAGGAATGAAATAAACAAAAGGCTGTTATTGTGGATAAATAAGCCTAATTTTGAGATGGTAAAATTCATGCTATTTTTGTAAGAAAATCTTTTTGTTTCACTAGGTTCTAATAAATATCATACTTCACAGGCCTGAATCATTTAGTGACTGTTATCAAAAGCCTGAGTCCTATAAATGCTGCTTTATCTGCTTCAGTTAGAGAAATAAGGATTTAAAAGCTGGTTTGAGGTTGCATTGTGCGTGGGAATGAGGGCTGGGTTCCAAGTCTGAATGTCACACAAGCCAATGGGATTGTGCATGTTACAAGATGAGAATGTTTTCCAGTACTTTTCTACTGTTAGACATGCAGACATGTTCTTTCGTGCATGTGTTTATGAAACCTTGATATGGTACTTAATGCCTTTGTATTACTGGGGACGCCTACTCTCCTTTCAGAAGTAGAGTCAGATGCAGTCCCTCTCCTGATCTAGACTACATATGAAAGCAGAAATTTCCTTCTTGGGAAAAAAAAGTGCATTTTTCTAACACAGGTACCCAGTTAGCACGAAGACAAAGATTTTACTGAGTCAGCTGTGTGCAGCCCTAAATGGGAAGTTTTCCACACAGATCACTGGATTTGCATGATCATTTTCCAAATTTGTTCTTTAGGGATCTTTTTTTCTGTAATATATGGATGTTACCTGTTCTTGGGCTCATTGCTTTCTAAACATATTTTTGTGAGGAAAAAGGCTAATTCTTACCTTGTGCTGGTTAAAATCATGCTGCGAGGCAGCTGACTAAGGCAATTTTGTAGCTCATGGAAAAAGCTACCGAGACCTTTTCCAAAAATTTCAACTCTTTTTTTTTTTTGTTCCACAAAAATGCCTGATCTTTTCCAGATTTAATTGTATGACTTACTGTTATTTGCAAATATGAGGAAGCCCCCTTTGTTTTTGTGGTGAAAAGGAGGTCCCAGAATTTCTGAGAGTGTTCTGTCTGTGGATGGTGGCATCCTGTTGCCCCTTCTCCAAGTGAAACATTTAGAAAACAGCCTGCAGAGTGGTTTCAGTTCAGTGAAAATTATGCCTCTTTGAGGGGTGTATTTCCCTTGTCTCAGAAAATTATAATGTTATACAAAAAATACACCATGTTGTATTGTGAAGATGGAACAAATCAGACAAAAAAGATGATACTGAAGAGGGAAAACAGCCTGTGCTATTTCTGCAAATTGCTCTCTCTCTTCCTCTCCATTGTCTTAGAAGACAAGCCAGGGCTCCCCAGCATTGCTTTTTAATTGGTAGGAATCCTTTTGTACTTAATCCTAATTCAGTGCCTTAATGCAGGCAGGTCCTGCAGAACCAGCAAGCTTACATGGGAGTACAAACGACTGAAATCTTTTTCTCTGGCATCCCTCTGCATGAGGCTTGTCATCTGTTCCTAATTATGTTCTCTGGTGACAGCTTGGGGTTTGCAGTGGCAAGCAGAGAGGCAGAGGAGAGGCTGGGAGCGGGGAGGCAGAGCGACATGTGTTGCTCTGTCTCCATAGCATCACTGAGCTTTGTCTTAGAGCTGTCAAACACTGTGCTTATAGCTTTCTTTACTGTGTACAGTGACCTGGTGCCATGAAGTACACCTTGTATGGGTCCTGCTTAGTCACTGTCCTCTTACCAGGTTATTTCATATTAGATTTTTTCTTTACTTTCAATCCATTCCACTTTTAATGAACCTGCACAAGTATTGGGAGCACACATATAAGTGAAAGAACTGATTCAGTATATTACCACTTGATGCTGTGATAAATAGGTATGATTCATGCTGATAAAAATTGAAACAGTAATCAATATTGATACAGTAATTAATATTTGGGAATAATAAAATAGTTAAAAGTTGTAATGCCAAAGAAGAGAGGGAGAGGAGGGGCTCCACCCCCCCCCCCCCCCCCCCCCTTCCCAGCAGATGTTCTCGAGGACCACAGGAAAGAAGCCAAAGGTGCAGTTGCTAAAAATGAGCAAAAACATAGTTGGGTCCCAGAAAATGCTCATTATAAGGGATTTATTGCCTTGATATGTAGATGTAGTGATACGTTAGTCTTGGCTTACATTGTACTGGCTTGGTGCGCATGTGTAACCCAAAGGTGAATTAAAGGACACAGATGAAGACTATGAAATGAAGATCAGACGACCTCCAAAGACTGGTGCGACCACCAAACCGAGTGGTGGCATATGCGCAGTAAAGGTGGTGATGAGGACGGAGATAGAGATATGACGAACCAAAAATGGGAGGAGATGGTATTTACACATGGTATAAAAGGGGGGAATCTTTACTTGGCAAGCTTGTACGTGATGTGGCAAGGGTCCCAGAACCCTGCCCTCCGTACCCCGCGGTTATCTTTTGCTTATGCACTATTATTGGAACCAAATTATCCCTTATCTTAATCAAATTGTATTGTATCCAATTTTATATTTTTTATTTTAACTATTCAATTAAAATTGCTACTACTGTTACTATTGTTTGGGTTTTTTTATGATGGGATAATTGGGCAAACATAACAATGCCTTTAGTTAAGGATGTAAAATTCATACAAGTATATTGGTAGAAACCTTTGACACTGCCTTTTCACTAGGGCCATGCTGTGCCCTATCCTACTCTCTGTGAATTAGTATTAGGTTTCTGGGGTTATGGTGAAACAATAGAGATGTGAGGAAAATAGCTTTTAGCCCCCATCAGTTAGATCCAAGTTTCACCTCTGTCACAGATACCTCACTGATCATTGTCTCTTATGCTCATGCTTTAATTAACTGAGACAGAAAGATGCCTCCAAGAATGATTCAACTGTCCTAAGATCTGATTGAACCTTTGGATGAATTTCTCCTGTGTTGATTTTGACTGACACTATATATATAAGGTTGCTATGACACAGTAGTGTAACTCATATGTATGTATTTTTAATCTGAAATGCCAAAGTCACACATGTAAAAGTTGTTCTCTGAGTTATTAGATTTGTTAGGGGGTCTTACTGCCTTCTTGTATTTAATGATTTTAATGGTTTTAATAATTTTTTATTTTAATTCCTCTTAGATCAGATTTTTTCTTTTTCTCTCTCTCTTTTTTTTTTTTTCAATTAAATGTTAGTATTCTTCATGCTGTGTTGTTGTCAGGTGTTAGGCTAAAGAGTGCAAAATAAGTATGCCAAAGTTGACAGCACCTTTTGCAAGGTCTGTGAATATGTTACTAATATTACAACTCCAGTTACAGCCACTGAGTGGTCTCCTTTAGGAAGGCTCTTTTACTTGGGTACAAATAAGATGGTAATGGTCTGACATTTGAAGTTCCTGCCTCCAAAGATATTTGCATGTTTAACTTTTCTTATTTTCAACAGTGCTTCCTTAAATGTCTTGTGGATTTATGGTGCATAAAGAAAAGGACTTCTGAAAATCTGTGATGACTTGTGTTTTATAACCTGTGTTTTCATATCCTATACTTCAGCCAGTGTGGTCAGTTTAGTGGCTTTTTTGCCATATAGTTTTCCTTACCAGTATATTTATTTATCACTTGTTTAGTGTAAGGATAATCCTTGAAAGTGGATCATTTTACAAGACATTTTTGAGAGCCTCAGAAGTATGATGAAAGCTCACAAGACCAGATTTTTTTCTCCCAGAAAATTTCTTTGGCAGTGTCCAGTCCTGCTATAAAAAGGCGAGTCGGGAGGATTCTTTTTGATAGATTTATTGGATGAAAATAAAATGACAAGGCTGCTAGCACGTGTATAGCCTCTATAGGAGTCCTTCACCTCCTGTATAATGTTGTGGCATAAATAATCAGATTGTTCCTCCCTATCAACCAGGAAGGGTTATCTAATGATCTTATAATGCCCTGGAGAAAAATCTGGAAAAGTAGAAGTGTGATTGAGACCTGCTTCCTCACTCTGACAAATGTCTACAGCTTGGAGCTGTGACATATTTGGAATTTGTTAAATAATTTTAGCTTCTATTTTGGTGGCAGTGGAAAATACAACTGTGACAAGAGGACTCATGATAATAATGATGCCTGGAGAGGGGCTCACTCTTATGCTGATTGGTTGGTGTCTAAAACATGTTCAAGCTGAGTTTTTCTCCAGATAGGTCACTCTGGGGGAGTCTCTTCCCCTCTGCAGGGGTTGTTGCAGTAGTCCTGGAGCTTTCTACCTCTTTGTAAATTCTGAGTGGAATCAGTCCCTGGTTTAGAAGTTGCAAATGAATGACATAAATAGTGTCTTTTCATAACCCTTATCACTCATGAAAACAAGTCAAAAATAAGCTTTTTACATGTGTCAAGAATGCTGAGGTAAAGATGTAAAAATTAACCCTTCCAGGTGAGGAAAGCTGTGCAACAGGAGGGATTCATTCGAAGGAAGCGAGGATATAGAGACATCAATGACATTGACATCAACATGAATGATCCTTTATTTACAAAGCAGTGGTACCTGGTAAGTTCTGAGAGAAAATCACAGTAATCATAACAAAATAATCACAGTAATCATAACTAAATCATTCAAGTCGTTCTATGCAGTTGCATTGTTTTCCAACAGTTCTTTCCAAATGCAGGACTTGGGAATGGATCCAAGGCTCTGTTGTGTTGGTTTTAATTGTACCCCTTTTATATTGGGAAGATCCAGCACATTTCAAGAGATAAATTTCTTTTCAGTCAATGGAAAGATCCTTAGAAGGCTTGAAAGAGAACTGTATTGATGTCCTGTGGGCATTGCTGGTCTGCTGATGTGACCCCTAGAACTGCATATGAATCATGTCTTTGAGCTGTTGCCAGGTAAAATATTGTTATGGAATTATAACAAAAAATTAAAATGTATTTGCTAGCAAAAGTTAAAGCTTTTCTTTTCTTATGTAAATTTGAATATAATTTGGCAAAAAAAGAAGAGCTGAAAATGGGTGAATTTTGGCTTAAGCTAATGTCAAAGGAAATTTGTATTTTGCTTAATTGTTTTAGTTTTTTTGTGTCAGTTTTTTTAGAGTGAGAAGTCTTTAGTCATGAAAGATAAGTTCTAGTTTTACTTGGAATTGAAATGATTTTTTTAATTTAAAAAGTTGATAAAGTAATTCTGGTCAGTTTTATTGTTGCAACATATTTATGATTTAATACTCAGTAAATACAGTACTGCCTTGTTAACTTAAGAAGTGTATTTTTGCTTAAGAGTAATGTTTCTTCCTCTTAATCCATTTCTTATGTTTCATTAATCCACCCAATATGGCTGCAGGTTTTTTTTTTCCTGAAGCAAAAGTTTTCAAATGAATTGGAGGCACATTAGCATGGATGGGATTTTATCCTTGATGAGTCGATAAACTGAAGTGAGGATTAAATCACTTATCTTCTGGTAGTTAATCAAAATGTTGCAGTGATAAAAATAACAAAAATTTAGGAAGCTATACAGTAGATCCCTGCTTTCAAGAAAAAGTATGTCCTGCTCATAAAAAAGTCCTCTGTAAAATCAGTTGTTCTAACTTTTTTCTTAGATTGATCCACTGGCTGACATGTTAAATGGAAAACTCATTTTTTGGGGTCCAAAAGATTCCGTGTTTAACCACATCATATAAACCACAAAAAATTGAATTTTGCCAGTGTTGGATTTTGTCAGGTATTTTTTGTTGTTTGGGGGTTTTTTGTTTGTTTTTTTGTTTGGTTTGGGGTTTTTTGTTTTGTTTTGTTGTTGTTGTTTTTGTTTGCTTGGTTGTTTTTTTTACAGCTGCATTATTGCAGTAGATATGGTTATGGACAGATGCATACTCCAAAAACATATGGAATATGTTTTCTGTACCAAAGATGCATGCAAAGGCATAAAGGAAGAACCAATGACTGTGGAAATATGTCAGTCCAGTAAAAAAAGCTTTTTTTTTTTTTTTCACTGATGTATTAGATTAACACTGGTCAAGCAGATGGGACTCCTGGACTTGACCTTAATGTAGCTGAAGCATGGGAGCTGGGATACACAGGGAAGGGAGTAACCATAGGAATTATGGATGATGGTAAGTGAAGACTGAGTACTAATTTAATCCTTTAGGTAGACTTTTTTAATTTAATTGAAGTTAAAAAAAAAAGATTAAAAAGTAATAATCAATTACTTGTAGTGGTGAGACTTCCAGCCTCTGTAAATACTTTGAGATCTTCAGGGAAAATATGATACAAAGATAGGGGTACTGAGGAATGGATATCCAAGCATTAGAAATAGTTTGCAATTATCATTCAGATATCTTCCAGGTCACGCTGTAATGACTATTAAACCTAAGGACAAACTCCCCTTGATTTCTGTAGGCACTGACTGGAGGAAGAAATTGCTGTACAAAAAATACCAAAGAAAAAGTTTTTTGGATTACATTATTTTCAGTCATCGTTGATAGTGGAAATAATTAAACACTTTCATACTGAATATCAGGGAAGATCTGCATATTAGATATATTGCTAGTTTCAGACTAAGTTCAGGAAAGATGAAGATAAAAGGTACAGTTGAAGTTACAGCTCTCTTACTTATGGGTTCTTGCTGAAGTAAAGGAATTCCATGCAGTCTCTCAACACTCTTTGGAATAAACTTTGAATGTTTTCCTTTAATGGGGCTGAATAAAATTAAAAATAAATAAAATGTCTGTATCAACATATGCTTTCTAGAGTCAGCTGAGATCTGTCCTTACTTATTTCTGTTCCTCACTTGCTTACTCCTGTGGCAAGGTTTTTGTGAAAGTAAGAAAGTAGACTCAGACATCTGGATATTAGGAAGAAATTCTTTGCTATGAGGGTGGTGAGATACTGTAACAGGTTGCCAGGGAGGTTGTAGGGGTGTTCAAGGCCAGGTTGGATTAAGTCTTGAGCAACTTGATTTATGTATTGGTGAAAGATCAATCTCATCCAAGAGATGACCTCTTGTGTCATGATTTCACTGATCTCACAGAGGTGGGACCTGGCTTTCAGATTAGCAAGGTATGACTGTCATGGGAATGATGGCAAACTATTTGAACTTTGCGTCAATAAAACCGATGGTCCATCAGATACAGCTTTCACAGAAGGGAGTAATTTGCCTTATAATTTGTTTCTAGGAACTCTAAAAATGATGGCCTGGATAACAGGATTCTTCATAGAGATTTTTATTGTCCATCTGCCATTTTGGATCAAGGGTCTCTTAAGGCAAATCTAATGCTAAGGACCTTACAGAATGAGAAGTAATCTTTCCATCAGAAAAACTGTGATGATGTGGCATTCTCCTTGCAAATGAAATAGATCATGTAATGGGGAAGTGATTAGAAAAACAGTATTGAGTGGTGCTGATGAAAATGTAGCATGAGATTGGTGGCTTTTGCTTTATAGGTTTTAACTGGCTAGGTAATAGGTCATCGTATCCCAGCTGAGTGTAGATCTGCTGCCTTTGTTACACCATCCACTGGGATTTTTACATTTGCCATGTATAGAAAGATGCCATGCAATAGAATGAGTATTCTATTATTCTATTGCCATTCTATCATTCTATTGCAATAGAATGAGTATTACACACTTAGAATCTTTAGCACGCTACCAAAATGTGGAGCCTATACACAAATATTTGCTAAAATTATTTAATCCAATATTTATCCTTTCATGCATATAATCTGAAATGTTTGCCTTAGTGATCACCCCAAGTCTACTCTAGGTAATTTTCTACTTAATTTACATTGGTTAAAAATACTCATTTTTCTATCCTGTACTGATCCAGTGCTCACTAATCTTGTTCATTTTGGTATGTCTTGAGATGACAAAACTCATACAAAGATAAATTGTGATTTAAACCTTATAAATAAATAAGATCTAGTCTACAAAACAGTAAAGTTTGTCATTCAGCTCACTTTTTCAAATGGCATCTGGATTTTGACATAAATTATTGAAAAGTCCACATTTAAAAACTGGAATCTCACTTCAATCAGTTGCATTGCATGATTATTTTCCTATGGTTGTAAAGGAATCTTATTCTGTGATCATTAGAAAATCTTTTTTGAATCTCTTAACCTTTGGTTTCTGTTCTGTCATTGTCTTGTTGCAGGAATTGATTATCTGCATCCAGATCTTGCATCAAACTACGTAAGTTCATGCTCATGTTTCCTGGAAGATGTGGATTTTCTTATTAGTATAGTCGCTGCTACAAAATTTTAAATAGGGAGTAGAACAGCAGTACAGGTGGACTCCTGATCTTAGTGATCATACATTTCCCATTGAAAGAAGCAGACCAAAAATGGGGCTACCTATGCAAGGAGTGGAAATGTGACAAGGCTCTTTGTGGAGAAATGACAGTCTTGTGTCAAATTAAATAAGCTGCAGCTTGCAATATTGGATTTAGGACAGAAATGAGTAACCTGTGAATTAGAGTTCTCTAAGTCCTGCTATTAAGATGCAGAATTCCCCTATCACTTGGAGAGCCATGGAGCTGTGGGCTGTGGCAAGGCATGTATTAGCCTTTGAAACCTCCAGGAGCAGTTTAATTCCTTTATACCAGGTGTTTTGATCCAGTGCTTCAGAGCATGTGCAGGGCAGATTGTGTATTCTCAGCACATGCTATGCAAATTGATTGTTCCTCAAATCTACCTCAGGATTCAGACCTTTGGACTAGAGTGTTCCTGCATTTCTTAACTCTTTGTCTCCCTCCAACACTCCATTGGCACTAGCACTCCTATCTTCAGGTCCCTTCCTGAGGGAAGGCCAGGCTGCTTCAGCTGCACAATGTGGTTTAGTTTGCAATTGCAATTAAATGAAAAGAGAAACAAGGTGAGATGGAAATTTTGGAAAAAAATGTCAGCCACTTGGATAGAACAGCTCCAAAATGAGGAAGACAGTTATTTTTGCATACGGGCAGTTTGGAACATAGTAACACACAGAGGATGAAAATCTATTTGTGTTGCAAGTAGCAAAGCACATTTCGTAGATAATAAGTGGATATAGAATGCTTTGGAGAAGGCATTTGGGAAACAGCTGACCACAGAATGCAGATTAGCCAGTTTCACTGCTTATGAACTGGCTTTAATAGCAGCTAATTAAACCCTGTGCTCTGACTGCAGAATTCTCTCCCAAGAGAAGTAACTCAGTAGGATGTTCCCATAAATTGATAGAAATAAATAATTTCTTAAAAAGCAGGCGTTTTTTTTTTCAGAAATTGTGCTCTGTGTGTCTTCTAGTATGTGATGTGGGCAAAGCACATGCTTTACATTCTCTTTTCAGCAGCAAGTGTAGACAACGTATGCGGGGATATTCTGTTTCTAAAAATCATGTTGTAAATACACAAGCAAAAAGTCTGCACAATGTACCTGATACAAGAGTTCTGTTGTAAACAGTGAAATCAGGATCATGCCCAAAACAAACAAAAACTAGATTCCGCTGTAATACAGTACTTTCTCTTTAAATTCCAAAATATTTTGTGTTTAATGATAAATATAGTCAAAAATATTTTGTGTTTAATTATAAATATTTGTCAGGTTTAGCAGAAATATATTGGTTTTAGAGTGGCAATAGTGAATATTGTGAAAATTAGTGGAAAATGACACAGAGAAGGGCAGTGCGCAGACATGATGGTGGAAATCCTGAAGTAATGGAGCTGGAGAGAAATCTGAGTGTTAAGAGATACTGGGATGAAAATTGTAAAGAAAAGCTGTCTGGACATGGGGGTCATCATACCTTTAGTGGCAGTCATGGAAGACTTGTGAGAAAACTGACTTGAAACAAGGATCTGAAAAGATTTGTGCAGGTGTGATTTTGTCCTAGTGAGAACACTGCTGATAAAACCTGCCATCATCTCCCTTGCCCAACCACAGCAGAGCAAGTGCAGGGCTTGGTTCGCCTGTACTTTGCCTCTTCCTGCAAGGCTGCACGGTACTCCTTGAGTCCCAGGAGTTCCTGCTCTGGCAGCCTCTGCTGTCTCTCAGAGGCCATGGGGGTCTTTTTCCCAGTAGGTAGTAATTTGGGCATGAACTAAAGATGAGGACTTAAATTCCACTGAAGAAAATATCAGTTTAGATGTAAAAATGCAATGAAACAAGTCGCTTAAGCTGACATAGCAATTATAGTCATCTTTGTAAAACTCCTGTATCACATTCTTGGTGTTTCACTATATCTGCACTTTGGGGCAGCTTTCTCTGAATTACTGTTGTTTATTTTTAGCAAATAAAAAGCTTCTCAATTGTATTAAAGCCTGCTGCATACCCTGGCAGTGTCTGTACATCTTGCTTGGAAAATTGGGAGCAATTAGAAAGTCTCTCAAAGGTGGTAGGTTTGGCCGTTGAGCATTTTCAAGTGTAAAACCTTTTCTTGGCTCCTCATTTTAATTTGGCTTTTATGATTTTGACTTTCTGGGTTTTTTTGCTTGAATAGTTTAATGGAGATTAGCACTTAGATGAAATGCAGGGTCAGGGAAGAAAAAGATCTTTCTGAAGAAGAAAACTTTGTACTTTCTCTTAAGATGTTGAACTTCTACCTAGCACATGGAGTGCACTTCCATCCATATTTTCTTTGTAGTTTTTTAAGATTTACTGCTTAAATCATCCATTTCTGGTTTTAATGCTCTTTATATACATGGAAAGACATGTGCCTGCTCATTGTGTGGGTGGACTGCTCTCCCACCATTGCCTCCTGGCTTGCTGCAGTATATCTACTTGCTTTTCTGGGATCAGGGAGTTATGGCAAAGCTGGAATTTTCCATTCTACACTGTGAATGCAGAGGCACTCATTGTTGAATGATCTGTATTTTCTTCCAAGCCTTGGAAACCCTGCAGGGAACCTTGGAAACCTTCAGGAAACTATTTTTTTCACCACAAAGAGAGCCCTTCATTATGAACTGATAATTAAAAAGCTGGGGCCTAATCTACACCATGGTTTGCTCTCAAATGATAATGTACATATAAACCCAGCAATTTTCAGGACTGATTTCTCCAAGATACAGCATCTGAGTGAGAAAGAAATGTCAAGTTACAGGGGCTGCATCTGAGATATGTCTAATAAAAGGGAAAAAAAGCAGCTTTTGGGGATGGGCATAGCAAACTATTTTAAAGAAAGAACTAAGCAAATGGAGATGTCTTGTGCCGCAAACAGAAACATAAGCTAAGCTCTCTCTGATACCAGGTTTTCATTGCAGTATTTTATCCTTGGCCGCTGCCTGCTGGTGAAGGTCAGTGTAGCAGCATTTTCCCACTTAGAGTAGTGGGGAGCTGATAATCTCCTATAAGTGGGTTTGTCCCTGATTAGCAGAACTTAGAAAAATCAGGATCCCACCAAGAGACTCGGGCTAGGAGTGAAAAATTGCTGGTTTCAGTGTCTGAACTCTGCCTGAAGCTGAAAGCTTGGTTTAACAAACCTAGGGAGAGAGAGAGAACAAGAAAAACACTGTAGGAAAACTGGAGGTGACTATGTGAATAGGTAACATTTTCACCAAGTATTGATAAATGTGCAATGAGAATCAAGCAGCAATTCTTAGTAATAGATAGGAATTGAAAAGATTTTGAATTCTGTAGAATTGCACAGATGTAACATGTACAAACAAGCATCAACCTGAGAAGTGGTTCATTGCTGGCCTTGCCCAAACCTCCTCTCTTTTCTTGTCTGTCCTTATGGTGCAGCCTTATCTTCTAAGGTCCTTGTCACTGTCACTCAAACTGTACACAGGAAAGGCCATATGTAAGGAATGAGGGAAGACTTTTGGATTTACCTCAGGGTTAGTCAAAGTTTTCCGTCATCTATAATTTCTCATTTAGATGTGAACAGCAGATTGCCTTGCCTGTCTTCTCTTCCTGCTTTGTCAGCATCTCCAAACAGAAAGCAGTCTTTCTGTCATCACTTTTGATAACTTATCTCCAGCCAATACTGTAACAGCTCCCCTTGCCTTGCTGACAGTGGGAGCATATTTTTGGAATAATTATCTTATCACATAAGCAGTGAAGCAGGGAAATGTTCCACTTCTGTTCTGAGCTGCATTTGCCATTTTTTGCTAGAGGAACAAAAACACCATTGGATAGTCTTTACAGCCACAAAACGAATAAGAAATAATACAGGCAATAAATTTTGCACTGCAATATGTACAGCAAAGCATAGCAACAGCACAAAGCATCTTCTTACTTTTAGAAAGTCTGTTTTTCCTTCATTACCAGGAATTTCTGCGTATGATTTGGCCTCCCTGCACAACACAAAAAGAACGAGCAAACTGTTCTGGTAGCCATGAGCCTGAGCGCAATGATTTACCAGTACAAACCATTAGTATCTCCAGTAAAAATCTGTAGGGCATAGTTGTGGGATTTTGTAGAGCTGACAAAGCTGCACTAACATTTATTGATCCACACTGCTTTGGCCTTGGTGACCCACCGACCCCCCACCTCTAAATCCCAGCTGATTTTTTTCCTGAGTCCAGTAAACTGGTGGGGAGAAAAATGTTGTCCCTTCTCAGGACAAAATTCGTTGGAAATACTCTGAAAAGCTCCCAGTGTCTCTGCACTTAATATGAACCCAGGGAATCCTCAGGAATCGTAAACATGGGAGAGTCAGGTTCCTACTGGCCTAGTGTATGGTATCGGGCAGCTTTATGAAGTCTGATTCCTGTGGCATGATTTTCAAAAGCCTCTGAGACAGACTGCATTTCCTGCTGCATTTCAAAGGGCTATGCAGCACATGCACTAGACACTTCATTTCAATAAACATTTACTTCTGATTCATTAAAGGTATTTTATGGGAAAACTCTATGTGCTGACTGTAATTGCTAGCATCTATTTTTAATTTTAATGTTAAAAAAGCATTTATTATAAAAAATATAATAACTTGTTTCAGCACATCACTAATTAGATTTGGGCTTGGTTGGTTTCTTTTGGGTTTTCTGGTGTTGCTTTGGAGTTGGGGTCTTGCTGATAGGTTTTCTAAAATAAACACTAGCATAAAACCTAAAAATGATCAAACAAATCCTGGGATAAATTCACAATACATCCTTCTGCTAGCACTGAAAATTCAGTTAGAACACTGATGGATGAAGGCTGTTAATGAAATTTCTGCCACAATCTGCTTCAAGAAATTGCTGAGACAGAATGAAGCCTCTCTTGCCAGGATGGAAGGATGGA